TCCAGCTCCGAGGCAACAGAATTATCACCGCCGCGCTCAGCGGAGCCCTTTCTGTGTCAGCTGCTATTTCCATTGTCAACTTGATACCTGAAGGCTCAATATTGTGACCCTTTAATTTTCAGCTGCTGAAACATCCCCTGTGAGCTGGCTAAAGGGGAAGAGCTCAGAGGGGAACTTGCAATGGTTATTCAGTGAGAGCAGTGTGTTTCTTTGGGTATTTCTTAAGTGCTGAGTGTTTAGAAGAAATTGATAGGTAGTAGCAAAGCACATTTAGCAATACTTTTCCTTCTGTAGCTTTCACTTCCTGGGATGTAATAAAATCCATTAAGTTCTATTTATGATCAAAGGACCAGTATAGTAATAGCTTTATTTGTATAATTATGGCTGTTATTCCAATAATGAAAATACTGTACACTTCCAAATACTGCAGTGTTTAGCGGGGTAGAGGGTTGGCACAGCCAAATGTTTGCCAGTTTTGCTGAGGAGTCAGAGAGATACCAGTTCAAAAAACTTGGATCAAGCTAAATCCCTGTAGGAACACATGTCCTGCCCATGGGTTCCACGTTGGGCTGTGCTGCCCTGGTTTTTCCAGCCATCCATGGAGGTGCAGCCAGGTTAGGCAGACCAGAAGGGCACAAACTGGACAGGTATAGGAAGCAAATGCAGTGGTTTGTTTTGGAGAGAACCTTTTCACCCCCAGGTCTGAAGGCAGGTTCAACATTCAGCTGGGAGCAGCCACTCCCCACTTGTGCATCTCCTGCCTCGTTTGAAATGCAGCCACTTCTGGGATGAGCTGCTGTAATTACTTTAAAGCACATCGTACTTCCACCACTTTTGGCAGGAAGGAAGGAGGAATACTGTGCTCCATCGCCAGACAAAATAGAAATCAACAATTGGGATTTTTCTCAAAGAGCAGATCTATCTTCTCTGCCATTAAATCTGAGTTGGATGGGAGCCTTGTACCCATTTTGCTTTCCCGGTGCGAGTGTGTCGTTCTGCAGCTCACAGCCCGTGTTCATGGGAAGATTTAAAGCAGCAAATTCTAGCCAGGAATTCTTTCTAGCACTTTGCTTTCCTTCTGCTGTTTGTCTCCCTGTTCACACTACAGATGCTGATGGATCACCTTCCATGGTGAGTAAGGAGACACGCTGTACTTTACGTGGTGCTGGGAAACTGTGTCATCCTCAGGAACGTTCTTCCAGAGAGGCATTGCCACTCCTGGAGCAGCACGGGTCAGGAGCTGTGCTGCAGCACACACGGCCAGTGCCTTGTTCTTATCACTCCCACACCTCACTGGAGCTGGGGGTGGATCACCTGCATCCATTTATTCACCCCTCTGCTGCAAAACTCCTGACTTCAGATTACTGCCCTCGGCCCACCTGAGTTTCCACATTCCAGAATACACTGGTGGTGTCCTTTTATACCCCCAGGGGATGATTTTTTTCCATGAAGGCTTGATTTTCCCTCTTTATCTAGGCATGCTGAGCACCTAGAAGTTAATTTGATGGAATCTTCTGAGAGAAAGTCTTGGTTTTGCACTGCAGTACTCCAAAAGCAGGTTCTTCTCTCACTGTTTTCTTCTTGGATATATTTGTCTCCTTACCCTTTTTTTTCCCATGTGTAACATTGATTTTAGCAAGAGGGAGAATAAATTCTCTTTGGGGATGTGAATAGGTAAATAACTATCAGAGCACACAAACTGTTGAGCAGGTGATTTTTAGATATTTCTTGATTTGTCCTCTACCAGTTTTACTTAGCTTTTCAGTCACTGCAGTTACTGTGTTCATCAGGTTTTATTTCTCATTTAATAATTACAGCAGTTTCCCTCGAGCCCTCTACTTCTAATTAAGAAAGCTAAGTTTGAGATAAAATCGATGGAATGAAATTTGTTATGTTTTTATGGTAAAATATGCTCAGAAAAAATACTCCAAAAGTCTCAGTCACTGCTTCTGAACATTGTTTACCACATTTTAATCCTCCATCAGTGCTGATGACTATCCTAGGGGCATAAGGACAGCTCAGCACCAAAGACCAGGATCTGATCCATGCAGGAATTCTTGCCTTCAGTCTCACAGAAGACTGAAAATCAAAATCATTTGGTTGGCACAGAATCTTCCCTTTTCCCATGTGCATGTGTAAGAATTGCCTCAGTTTTCACCAGCACTGCACTTCTGCTGTCCTGCTGCTGCTCCTGCTGGGCTGAGGTGGCTCAGGAAGGCCTGGAAAACCTGGCAGCACCACTCAGAGCTGCTCCAGCTCCAGGTGGACTCTGGGCAGGTGTGACCCAGTCCCCATCCAGGCTCTGAGAGCCCCTTTTGGTGAAGGACAAGCCAGTGGACAGCTCCGTGCTGCTCCAAGCAGCAGCTCCCTGAATGGAGATGCACCTCTTCACACCTGTTTTATAACACAGGAGCAAAATATTCAGGGCATCTAAATAGTTTATAGCCCGACAAACAAATTCTGGCAGTGGGAGCATGAGTTTCCATCTCATTAAGCTGTTGGCAAAGCCCTGGTAATTCCAGTCACTGATACAGCACAGGAATTATCCCTCAACACGACTGGTCGTGTCAGGTCAGAGCATCACTGCTTTTTCTCAGTAGTTGTGTGTTTGTACTTGAGGGCAAAAGAAAGTGTTGAAATGTCAATTCATTGGGTTCTTCTCTGGTGCTGGAGCAAGGTCTTGTGAGGTCAGAAAAAATTGTCTGTGGATTTCTACACCTTAGTTGTAATGAGGAATTGTTCTCAAATTTTTTTTTTTTTTTATTTTTTATTTTTTTTGTCATACAAAACCTGACACAGATTCCCAGTTTGGCAGAGGCTCCAAAGTTTATCTTGGAGCTCAGCAGCTGTGCTGCAGCCCAGGTTGGCTCTGACGCAGTTCCTGCCATCTCCCAGCTTTGTTGGGCTGTAGGAAATGTCTGGACCTTTGGAGCCACTGACTTGGGGCAGGTCAGCTCTATGATGGCCATTCCCATTAGGGGAGGTGTGCTGTGAGCTGGAGAAAAGGAGTGGGAGATGACAGTGTCCCCTGGCTCCTGGCAGGCAGAGCATAAGGTATTTTGTTGATGGAGTGGCACACGTGTCCAGAGGCATGGGAAATTTGCCTCCGGCTCTGTTACAGACTTTTTGGTGTCTTGCAAACAAGAGGGAGCAGTTTGCTCTCCCTGCCACGTGTTACCTTCCACAGCTTGAGACAGACACATGCAAAATTCATTTTAGAGGTCGGTCATCCAGTCCCAGAGACTAAGGAATGTTGTAGTAGGGCTTTTCTAAGATTTATATGCTTTATCAAAGGTTCTATAGTTTTCTCATTAAAGCAGGATTATCCTGCTGGGATTAGCAGTTCTGCATGGGTGAGGAAGACAGGCACTCTGCATTTTCATGGTGAGCTGCTGCCTGCAGAGATGCACTGAGAACCAGGAGCTGGGGGAGCAGGAGACACAGGGATGCAGGTGTTTGGAAAGGAGGCCCGAGAGGGGCTGTTACAAATGTCAGCTTGATTTGACTTGACTCCTGAGCACGTGGGAGAATGGCAGCAGGCTGCACCTCCAGCACTCCTTACCATGCAAATATCCCAGTCCTGAGACTCGTCCTGGCATTTAACAGCCTTCTCCATGCAAACCTCAGGGAATGAATTTGCAGCTTTCCCATATGCTGAAACAAACAGGCAGGGAAACCTTTTAATTTGCACAAGGATCTTCTGTAGTCAATACAAGTTGACCCTGCAGGCTTTCTGGAACTGATTCTTGTCAGTTTGGCCTTGCAAGATTTAATTTAATGCTTAAATTATCTCCCTTTCCCCATCATTTTATTACACAGACTCCCAGAATGGTTGGGTTGGACGGGACCTTAAAGATCATCCTGTTCCAAACCCTTGCTGTGGACAGGGACATCTTCCCCTATCCCAGGTTCCTGAGAGCCCATTCCAACCTGGCCTTGAGCATTTCTCATGGATTTTTTTTTCCTATGTGACTACAGTTCAGAATTCAATTCAAGTCACTTGAAAATTACTGCTAAGTAAAAAACAACTTATTTTGCTGGTGCTTTAGTGACAATAAATATCTGGAGCCTGCTGGGAAGTGGGTTTGGGTTTTGTTTTTTTTTAATGTACTGTCTGCCTCTCCAGTTTGTAATTTATAGCTATATACCCTTGTGTATTTAATATAAATATTGCCATCACTGACCAAGAACTTGGAGGAAAATGGTGCAAAGAAATGCAGAAGCAGCACTGCTAACCAGCTTGTTGTATGACACTGCTGCTCAGTGTTAAGGAGTCTCCAAAAAGAATGAACTGTTGGACTAAAAGCTTGCTCAGACTGCAGTATTGACTTAAACAGAGGTGTTACTTGACATGACTGCTGTAAAAATCCCTTAAAAAACATTTCTCTTGTTCTGCTCATCACGGCATTCCCTGGAGGATGAGTTTTTGTCAAATATTTTTCTAGAGAAGGGAATTTCTAAGTATTCAGGAGGTCTGAAACCAGCAGTGAATGGGATGAGGGTCTTCCTTCCTCTATCCCAGGGGAGCCTCCTGCCAGCCTGGAGCCTGTCAGGGAGCCTGGTCACATCTGCAGCTCTTGTGCTGGCTGGGTTGGTGCAGCCCAAAGCTGGTGTGTCAGAAATGCAGCTGTTGTAAAGGTACCAGCATTGCAGCAGCCAGTGGTAGCCTGTGCTGGATTTAGCACTCCTTTCCACATTTTCAGGAGATTTTTGGTGGCTGGTCGGTGTAAAGCTGCCCAGCTGAGTAATTCAGATTCCCTGGGCTCAAAGGGGGCAGATTATTAACCACAAACACAACACTTACAACCCTGAAAGGGCTTTAAATAGGTTAGGAGCTGCTGCAGCTCTGATCTCCCCCTGCAAGGCAGGGCAGGACTGTGGCTCACCAGGTGTTTGCCTTCAACTGCAGCTGCTCCATCTGCAGAACCAGGTGGAGACGTTTGGGACATGGGGAAAACACAGCTGGGAGAAGTTAGGAGCAGCCCCAGGAGGTGCTGGCTCACCTGGGCAGAGCAGAGCCCAGAGCCGGCTCAGGGGCAGTAAACTGAGCTTCACCTCAGCCACAGCCCTGGCTAGGATTAATGAAACAAAGAGGAGGTAAATGTGTGTTTGAGATGCTTTAGTTTTTTTTTGAGTTTTTGTTTCCCACCTACTAGTTACAGGCAAATCAAATTAGCTCTTTCCAGAATGCTGCAGTTTAACTGTGTCTGCCATCAACTCCAACCCTACCTTAGAGGAGTTTTGCTGATGAATCTCTCTTTTTTATCTCCTGCTCTAGGTTTTTATTGTTGTTTTTTAAGTTATCTTTTTCTTATTCTTCTCCCTGAGTAGTTTTTTAGTTTTCTTTAATGTAGCTCGTGGTGTAGAAAATGAAGATTTTGATGACTTTTGAAATTTCAAGTTTAGTAAATCTGAGGTTTGGATTGAAGGTAATTATTTTCTTGCTTTTTCCTCTCTGTGTATGTAAATTAAGTTCACCATACAGATGCTTGGGTTTTTCTGGCTCTTGAAGTTGTCTGAACACGTATGTCCACCGTGTGGGGTAGAAGACACCTGCCTGCTTTGATGGGATGCTTTCAGCAAATGCTCCTTTCAGCCTATTGCAAAATCTTCCCTTTGAACTTCCATTCTCCTGCACAGCGATGGTGACACCTGCGTGTGAAATGCAATGAAATGCTCCTCAGTAATGGTTTCCTGCTAAGGACTTAGGGTGGAAAAACAAGTTTTGGGACCTTTGCATGACTCTCTCTTCCTCATCTTTCTGATTCTACTGGGAATTTTGTTCTTAGTGCTGCTGGTTGATGTGGTAAGAGCTCAAATACCCAGGGAATGAGTGCACACATGTAGCTCTGGGTGAGGGGGATCACCCTAAATCTGTGCTGGGGACACTTGGGGACAGCTGTTGGAAGGACCTGATACCTGTACCAGTTCTGAGTTTCCTCTTCAGCTCAGTTGTTTCAAACTTCTGCATGTGAAGTGCTGGAAGTTGGTAAGGCTGGGTGGTGTGGAGTGCTTTGCCAGCTTGGTTTTCTCCAGCTCTTTCTCTAGGGAGAAGCTAAGTGTGGCTTTTTGTGACTTGGTTTTCTGTACCTGTTGTGTGATGTTGAATGGGTTTGTTTCAGAGGGATCTTGTGATTGGGTCATCCTTCTATTGGAAAATGTCCATCTGTCAAGGCAGAAACTTTCCTTAGGAGCACTATGTTCTCAGGAGATCACCCTAAGCACTCTGTATCTGTCTTTATTAAACTGCACAGCCTCAGTAAATATTTACTGGTTTGGGTCTTTGGCATCCTGGTAGAGCTCTGGCTGCTGGACCTTTGGCTGTCCTCATGTCCTCTTGTTTTGTTTAATTTTGGAACAAATATTGGGGATTTTAAAATTTGGTTTCGGGGTTCTTTTAATAACCATATTAAAAGGTAAGACTTAAAATCCAGGTTTTTCAAGATAGGGCTGTATAGGCCCAGAGCTCCAGTTTGTGAAGGCAATAAACAATGTCCTCAGCTCCATCTGGGGTTGAGCTTGGGCATGGATGGGTCCTGGTGGATCCAGCAGCACCACCAGACACACCATTCATGCCTTTACTGGGAGAGGAGGCCCCACCCCAGTGTGACCAGCTGAGCTTGGCTGTGACTCTTGGAGGAACAGTGTAATGGGAGTGACAGGAGAGTTGGACCAGAGGAGAAAAATTCATGTTAGATTGAATATAGCTTTTCATCCTCTTAAAATTCTTCTGCTTCTTTGAAGTGTGAATCCCAGATGCTACAAAAGTATTTTTCCAGACACGGCTGTGCTGTCTTGCTGTGCATTTTCCACCAAATTGCTGAATTACTGTTCTCCTTCTGGCCTTCAGATTTTTATTTTTTTTTTCATAGCTTTATCAATTTGTGTGTATGTTTTACATGGCTAAAACTCATTCCTGTCTCCCATACCCATCTGAACACTCCCCCATGAGGCAGCATTCCCACCGGGCTGTGGTGGAGGACAGGAATGCTGGCTTTTCTTCCAGGAAACTTGTAAACACGAACTTCCTGTTGACACGAGCTGTAAATCTGCAAATAGGCTCTGCTTCCGGCAGGAGGGGAAGGTAATAAAATTTCAGGTCCTTGTTCACTGTGCCTGGTCCTCCTTGAGCTGCATCCAAGTGCTCCAGAGGCAGTGGCAGCACAGAAAACCTGCTGGTAGCTCTGTACCTCTGGAAATGAGTCTTTCCTTGTATTTTTTTTTTCTCCTTCAGTCACCCAAACACAGATGCAATGCTAATAGAAGCCAGTTGGAGAATGTCAAAACCCTGATGACTCCAAAACGATGCCTCATTGCTTGTTTTCCCCTTTCCTTTCTCACTGCCTCTCCCACCACTGAGCTGATCTTCAGTTTTGGGGCGTTAACTCTGTTTTACATCCACACCAGGCATTTTGGGGTAAGGAGCTGGCCAAAGTCTGGCACCTATTGGCAGAACATGCCATTAAGTTCCCTATGCCACACATTTTTGGGAGGCTAGTGCTGGGAGGGTAACAGGGTCAGGTAGCAGACACCTGGGCAGGTGGCTGAGCTTGCTCAGCACATTCCAAGAGCTTCTTCCAATGGTTGGGAGGACAGGGATGATTTTCAGGACCTGCTCTTGGGGCTGCTGGGGGTTCTCTGTGCTGTCAGGGAAGGGATGGAGGCAGACAAGGAGCCTGGAGATGGTGGAAGCAGGGAGTGGAGAAGGGAAGCAAAAATAAGACAAAAAAGCAGATTATAAAAAGAAATTAAAAGCATGCTAGTGTGGAAACGGAAAAAGGATACAAAAAAGAAGAAGTGGTTACAGGACGTGGCAACAAGGAACAATGGCAGGATAAAAGGAGAGTCTGGGTGAAGGCAGAACTCTCTTAATGAGCATCCCATTAATGAATCTCCTCTCCTGCAGCAGCACGGGGCTGTGGATGATCTCCAGTCCTCTCCGCTGACCTCTGGCCGTCTCGCTCGGGCTGCCTGAGCCTTGGCTCCGTGCCCCGAGCGCAGCCTCGCCGAGCGCTCCGGGCAGGATGGGAGGCACATGGCAGCGGTGAAAGGGGAGCCTCTCGCCCTCCCTGTGCCTGGGTGGGCGTGCTGGGCCTTTCGTAAACTAATAGCTCCCAGCAGTGCTCCTAAATCAGACTTTGTGGAGCCGGGAGCGCGGCGCTGGAATGCCGGGCCAGGCGCAAAGGGCTGCGCTGCGCTCTTTCTTCTTTTTTCTCTCCCCAAAGCCAGAGTTTGTTAGGTCTAAAGGGTCAGTGGGGAGCGGGAGAAGGGAGCTGGCAAAGAAAATATGGGTAAAAAAATAAATGTAGGAAAATCTAGCAAAAAAAAACATGTTTGAAATGTGGTTTTTTTGATTGGTTGAGGCTGGAAGGAAGGGAACCCTGCTCGGTGCTAAACCTGCAGAGCCAACAACCTGGGATGCTACTGGGAAGCCTTGCTTAAAATCCTCAGCTGGTGGTTTTGCGGGGTGTAATGAACAAAACAACTTGGGATTTATTTATTTTTTTTTAAAGGAGACTGGAATTGGGATATTTTTAATCAAGGTTACCAGGTCAGTGACATCTAATTAATGAGAAAGACCCCTCCTTGAGTGGCTGCGTGGTAGGGAGGTACCACTTTCCTCCTCAGAAGCACAGGGAAAGGAGCAGAGCCCCAGCAGCTCTCACAGAGTGCAGGGCCTGGAGCAGAGGGGAGCTCAGGGTGAAATTGGGAAAAAAGGCTTCTGTTAAAAGAGCCCAAGATAAAGAAGGAAAAGCAATTCTCAGGGGAAGAGCCTGAGCTGGTGGCAGGGAAGGCACCAGTGTGGAGGGAGGTGCTGGAAGCAAACTGGGATGTAGTGAGCCTGGTGTAGGGAAGGGGCTTGGGACCCATCACATGCATTTTAGTGCTCACAGTGGCCCCTGGGATGAGGCAAAAACTCCAAATTCTGCTGCTGTGTTGGGCTTTAACCTGTGCTTGTTGTAAATGGTCTTCCATATCTGGTGGTGAGGAGCACTGGGAGCCCTGAGTAGGGTGCCTGATCCAGGACACAGTTCTCAAGCCACCACCTCACCTGAAAAAGGGAGGATTTCGGCTTCCAAAGCTTGTCTGCACCATAAACGGGTGCTAAAGAGGATGGTCCTGCAAGGAGTGGGGCAGAGCTCTGAGATTTAGACAGGAAACTGGGTTTTCTGAAGTAGTGGAGAGGTGTCTGGGAGCTGCAGCAGAGCTCCATCCACACAGCTTCCAGTGCCAGGAATCTCCTGGTCTGTGTGTCAGGCAGCTGAAGTTGAGAATCACCAAAATGACAATTGGAGGGGAGTGGATGTATGTATTTGAACAAATCTCTGTAATCAAATGGCACTGCTGTTGATCTGGAAAATACTGTCAAGCTGCAGGGCTGTTGGACTAGAATTAATCCTCTGCAGGCTGGATTTTACTCTCTCCAAATAGGATTACTCATTTTTTCCATATTTCTGTGTTTGGTTTAAATACCCGTGACAGCTACAGAAGCTTGGATTTCTAATCAGAGCAAGGGTGTTAGATTTAGGAATTGGTTTGTTGTTTTGGAGGGGATATTTTTGCATAGGACATTAGTTCCTGCATGTTTTTTTCTTTACCTATGTGGCCACGGAATAAAGCACCATGTGCTTAGGTGATGTGTGTCCCCTCCCTTAAGGGGTAGCCAGGAGTAGTTTCAGTAACTTCCTCAAGTTGTGCTTAATTCCTTGTTGCATCTTCTCTCCCCCTAATTGCTTTGGGGATTTTTTGGCAATGGCTGATTGTGGATGTTCTGGGTGTAAAGTTCTTCCAGCTCAGTTAAGGCCAACTTTTAATGTGGTTTTCCCCCTCTCTGGGCAAGATTGAAATGGCACAAAAGCCAAACACTGTTCATGTTCACTCCTGAAGGAGGCAAAATGTGATTTGATTTGGATTTTGTGGAGGGTTGGAGCTCTTCTGCTTTGAGGAGAGGCTGGGAATGCTGGGGATGCCCAGCCTGGAGAAGAGAAAGTTCCAGGGAGACCTTAGAGCCCTTTCCAGTGCCTGTCAGGGCTCCAAGAGAGCTGGAGAGGGACTTTGGACAAGGGCCTGGAAGTGATAAGAGGGTGTGCATTGGCAGGGTTAGACAGGAGATTAGGATGGAATTGTTCCCTGTGAGGGAAGTGGGGCCCTTGGCACAGGGTGCCCAGAGCAGCTGGGGCTGCCCCTGGATCCCTGGAAGTGTCCAAGGCCAGGCTGGACAGGGCTTGGATCACCCTGGGACAGTGGAGGGTGTCCCTGGCAGGGATTGGAACGAGATGAGCTTCAAGGTCCCTTCCAACTCAAACCTTTCCCCATGATTCTGTGACAAATTAAGCTTGTTAACATAATCTGCCGTGTGCTAATTCAAATAATGGATGCATTGAAAAGAGGATGTTGGTTAAATGTGATAAATTTGCCAGGAATGGAGAGGTCTGATCTCTGTTTTGGGGGTTGAGCTTGAACTCAAGTCACTGAGTGTCCCTTGCAACCCCACCAGCATCACTTCAAAGGGAGCAATCCCTTCTTGGCTCCACTGTCTTGTAAGGCATAAAGAAGGCAATAAAATGTTTGACTTTCTTGCCAGACCTGAGCCTGGAGGAGGATCCCAATTGGTTTCCATCAGATTCCAGTTAGCATGAATTTACGGTTTCTACTTAGCCTGATAAATGGCTTTGGCTGCCTTAGTGCATTTGGATTTATTTTTCTGTGTGATGGAAAGTGGTCAACTTAAAAAGGCAAAGGCTTTCCAGGGTTGCCTTGAATTCAAGTGAAGCTTCTTTCTGAGGTAAGAACACAGCAGGCAAAAAATAAAGCCGAGGCACATCATGAAATATCTGTGGAATAGCAGAGAAATCAGAAGCAGTTCGGGTCTCTAGTGCTCGCTGTGGCAATGGGCTGTGATAGGCATAAAAATTCCACTGCAAACTGGAAAAATTCTTCAGATTTCCTCGCTTTCCTCAGAAACCACACTGAGCAGCAGGTATCAATAGCTCCCAGTGTTCAAACTTTGCTTGCATCGTTCTTTCCATGGAACATTCCCAGGAGAAGAAAGCAGAAGCAGATTAGCATGGTGAGCTGGGGAAAACAGTTCTCCCCATGCTGCCTGCAGTTCTGCTTCCTTCCGCTGTGCTCGTCATGTCTGGGCTACAAAATCTGCTTTAACACCTATTTAGGAGCAGATAAACCTCTTGGGAGCAGTGAGGGGGTCAGTAGATGACATGTGCATGGACTCCCCATCCCAGGTTGGATGTGGGTTGGAGCAACCTGGAGGCCTGGCACAGGGTGCCCAGAGCAGCTGTGGCTGCCCCTGGATCCCTGGAAGTGTCCAAGGCCAGGATGGACAGGACTTGGAGCAGCCTTGGATAGTGGAAGGTGTCCCTGCCATGGCAGGGGGTGGAATGGGATGGGATTTAAAGTCCTTTCCAGCCCAGACTACTGTGGGATTTTGTGGTTCTATACTTCACAGGCCTGCCTCTGGCAGTGGTGAGCTCAGGAATGAGCTTAGGGATATCTCACGGTTTGGGTGAGCTGAGGCACATGGATCATGTGTGAGACACAATCCACGAGCCTTTCAAAGGAGGTTTGGCAATGACTTCCACTCAGGGCACCCTGGTGTCCATAGTTTTTATACCTGGAGAACCCAAAAGCACACACCCATCTTCCTTACTCCAGTGATGAGCCATGAGGTCTGGCATATTCCTGCCTCCCTAGTTAGAAGTGGGGATGTCTCCCCTGAGGATGGTGGGGTTTGGTAGACACTGGGCTGTGGACACCATGACAAAGAGATGTGTGCCTTTTCATAAAAGTTTAAAAAGTCCTACTTAAAATACTTGCAGTGACCTGAGTTCTTGACATTTCCAAGTGCTTTAGGTTGTAAAAACATTGAAGAGATTTATTTGGCCATGGGTTGACAAAGGGTAGTTAGAACCCAGTTGTCAGAGTTGTGGACAGCTTTTGTTTGTGTGAAGCGTTCAGGTCCTTAAGCTGAAATACAATTTAAAAAGGAGGGGAGGAAACACCTGGTGCTGGTTACCTATTTCACATAAAGCCCCCCAAACTTGTCCCTGTGCCTTCTGAGGGTACTTCTCTTCTGGCTTTGACCCAAAGACCTGACAGATCCCAGGCTGCATCTCTGGAGCATCTGCTGTTCATCATTCGGCATCCCCCCCCTCTGTCACACTCAGACCTAAGTCAGCTTTTGAGTTCACTGCCCAGTTTCAGGCTGGTTTGGAGATGTTGGGACAGGGCTGGACAGGGAGCAGCTGTGTCTGATGCTGGATTCTTAATGCTGGGAGCACAGGGCTGCATCCATCTGCCTGGTACCATCTCCAGTGGGGACAGAGCTGCAACATGAGCTTGCTTAGAAGACATCAGAGAATCCACATGAGAGCCACCGCTGTCACCACGGCCCGGCCGGGGACGGCTCCTGTTGGGGACCTCATAGCGTGAGGTGCCAGGGAGCCAAGCATGAGATGCGAGTCCATAGGAAAATAACTTTATTAGTTCTGGTGTTGGTGGAGCTGCTTGGGTTGTGCCTCCCTTCATTGTCTGTGTAATTTAGAGATGGTTTTTCCATCTCAGCTTATGAAATATTGAGAGCTTCAATATTTTGCGCAACCTCCATCAGAAGTGTCAGAAGCCCCAGCGAGCTGAACTTTCTGAACTTAAATGTTTTATTGAGGTGCCTTTGCCTGCAGCCCCTCCAGTGGGGACTGGGGTGCTGGAAGGGGGTGCTGGGAGGCACTGTTGGCTCTGCCTCTTCCCAACCTGTTTTGCTGCCTGAGCATCTCGTGGGATGCTCCAGATGTTTGTGTGCTGATACTTGAATGCGATTGACTTCTTTTTTTCCTAACTGAAGCATGTGGAATCACTGCTCTTGGGTGAGGTTTGGAGGAGGGAGAGCTGCTGTAAACCTGTGTCCCCTCTGCCTGCAGCCAGGCTGCTCTTCTCAGAGTGATGTGTTTGCCCAGCCAGGGAAGTTTCATGTGCTCCTACAGCACCCAAAGTCTCCTGCCCAAATCGCTGCCCCATTATCGTGCAGCATCCTGCCTGTACTGGGAGGCCTGTCCTCTGCAGGAGGAGATGGTGGCCGCTGTGTTCAGGATCTCATGCTGTGAGAAAGCTTTTTAATGCTTCCTTTAAAGCAGTTTTCTCCCTTTACAGCCTTTTCCCCTCCCAAAGGGAAGCAGAGGTACCTCAAACTAATTAGGAATAAGCAGCAGAGAAGCCAGGGTGAAGGGTTAGGTGAGATGCCGGGGGGCAGTACCTCCAGAAGGTTTATGGACAGAGCAGTTAGCAGTAGCCTGCCAGAACACTGGG